CAACCTAGATACTGCAGGCACACTTTAACCAGGTATGGAAAATGGTCTTTTTTGTATTTTACCTCTTTAGCATTTGTGTACCAGTGATCCAGTTACTTCAAATTCTGAGAAATGTGAGAAACAATATATCTATGTATTCATTTATCAACAATTTAATTTCTTACTGAGCTAAAAAAAAAAAAAAAATGTCCTTGTTGATTCATAGCCATACTTCACATGTACTGATAGCTTCTCATCTTAACCCTGCTGCTCTTCTGAGATTGAGTATCCCCAGTTTTTCTGGCAGCTTTCCACAGGTCACAATTTACAAGTAGAGACACATATTCATGGGTCAGTAATTACATTCACACTCAAGAGGCGCAATCCCAACAGGAACAGCTGTCCAAATGAACTTTGCAGCACTGCTCCACTGGTATGCTGCACAAATCTGCCCTTGCCAAAGGGGAATTTTGTGTTTTACATGTATTTACAAATAAAGCAAACAGCAATGCCACTAGGAAATGCACTTTTTAAGTGGATGGCTCATCTCTCTCACTTCAAACAACAAAGGCTCCTGAGTTGACTCTTGACTGAGTTGACAGCAGATCTAGTTAGCTAGAAATAAAAATTGTATTACTTTTTCTCTTCACCTTTAAGCAGGAGCACTTCAGTCTGTTTAGACTACCCAAGACTACATATGATCTGTGAGATCTATGCCAAGGTACAAACCGGTTAATTTATTTTTATTGCCCTCTTTCTTTTGTAACCTCTTTATCACTTCTCTATTAGAGACGGTTTTAGAAGCCAAGTGCTATTGACTGAAAAGGAACCCATAATTTGTCTTTGAAGTCTTCCTGAATTTATCAGTCCTGTTCCCAACTTCTGTATCAATCTAACTCTTGTTTATACATGCAGAGCCCCAGCAAATTTGCTCTGACTCTCCATTTGGTCCTGTCCCGCCACTCCATTCCTCTCAACCTTCAACATGCTGTGTGACTCTTTAAGGCATGCCCTTTCACAATCTCTGCCTCTTCCAGGTGCAGACTTCAACCTAACCTCCCTCCTTACAGGGGCAATCTCTATTCCAGGTGCCAGCACTTTTGTTTCACATTGCACTCAGACGACTGATCATTTTATTCAACACCTTAACTCCTGCTTCTGAAATCCTGTTCTTCCATTCTCTAACTGGAGCTGATAACACTACCTTTGCATCTTGCACACTTTTCTCCAATAGTGAAGAGAAAAAGAAAATATATGGGTAGAAAAAAATGTAGGGTAAAGACAAGGGGGTGGGGGAGAGAAGAAGGATGCTTAATCTGAATATACAATTAAAAAGATGCATCTCAGTTTACAAGACTTTGACCAATTCTACAGATACAGCCATGCAGGCACTGGAAATACATTGTCTATCTTTTCTTTGGTTGCTGCATGTCAAATGCTTCACACTGCAAGGATAGCAATGAATCCTTCCCTTGGGATAGCAAACAGCTGCCTGCTGGAATATCTGGTTACTCCTAGTCTATCACACCTAAAAACACTATGTCAGGCAAAAAGAATTCCAACGATGTTGCTCCTTGCCCTCTGCAGCACAGAGTATGTGCATTAATGTTTTGAGCCACATCAAAACAGAAAGGTACCTGTTTAATAAGCAGAAAAAACTCTGCATTCTAGGTCTCTAGGCACTGCTGCATAGGTACACAACACAAAACCTTCACTCAAGTATGATTTTTAGCCCTTGACTTTCAGCAAATGTAGATGCTGCTTTGTAAAAGTTCACTTCTTGAGGAAAATGGCAAAGCAGAGGGATGAAGTGCAGATAAGTACATTCAGGGTCTACTACTGTTTTTCCAGACTACTACTATTATTGAAGAATATGCAGGTGCCTCATACTTTCATTGCACTCTAGACAGGAAATGCCACAGATGCTAGGGTCTTTATACAATGTACTTTGATTAGAATGAAGTTAAATTGTGTGTTATAAATATTTTTTTTCTTGCCTAATATTTCTCATTATGAGGAAGGAGGAAAGATAACCAAGAAAGTGAAAGCCCTTTTTTTTTCCCCCTGCAGGTCAAATATTCTATGAGGAAATCTACATATACAGCACTGGCACCTGACAGTTACAAGACAGCAATATCAGCTACAGCCTACAGCCATAAATATCAACCCTCAGCAATGCTGTTAATTCATGTCTTTTGTGGAAATTCAATAATTATTCCCATGCACCATTTCATGATGGGTGGAATAAGCCTACTCTTCTTGATAATTTACATAAGTCTCAAACTCTTATACTTCCTGGCTTAGCTACCACATAGCTTTAGTCTCAAAATAATGTTTTTCAAAATATGTTGTGTTCAACACTTCTTTGGCATCCCAAACCAGGAAAGGAAGAAGAATTATAAAAACGTTACTGATATTCCCATGTCATTGTTTCAATTGAATTATAAAGGATATTTAAGTGCACAGACAGAGCTCGCCTTGAAATAAATAAGCAAAAAAATGTATTTGTGTTATTAATTACAGCATTCTGGATTACAATAAAACTATAGTATTAAAATGCAGCTGTATAGAAGACATAAGAAGAGACAGCTATAGAATTAACAAGTTCAGAGTAATTTTTAAATTACAAATAAAAGTGCATCATTATTAGATTTTCACTAAGCAGATATTTAGAAGTACTGCATCAAAGGCAAGGAAGGACTCCAGTACCAAAACTTAGGAAGAAATATGCTATTTTCTTAGATGCTGTTCTCAAAGTCTGGAGGAGACTGTTCCCCAAATCCCTAAAAGATGGGCAGCAAAAAAAGCTAAAAAGCTATCTGTGGTGGAAAACGAGGCACAGAATCCCTAGGTAACCTACAGAACTTGTTGAGGTCACACTTACCTTCTCAACACCATACATTCTTCCCTTCTGGCTACAACTACAAAGAGATACATGTTTCTCACTGGCAAATATGCCACTATTGAGCAACTAATAGTTTTTGCTATTATGTAACATCAGACACCTGTAGTTCATCAGGTCATATATTCACCATTCTATTGCTGAATAACAGAAGAGAATTCCTAGTAAGGCTTCAACCACAGCACCTATAAACCCTTCAGTCATTCTGCACAGAAAGTTATAAATGATCAAAAACTACTTGCATTTTTACAAAGACCAAGCTGAACAGTCTTTAATCGAAATACATTTATAATAAGTACACATTTCAGAATCAGAATTGGAGGAAGTAGACCAGAACAGCCACAGACATTTTTGCTTTACTCTCCATCCTCCTAAAGGAGGAATGGTTATTTCTCACAGCAGTTTGATCAGTTCAGAAGACGCTTACAGACTAAAAACTTTTGTCTTAGGTATTAGCTATGTAGTAAAGTACATTCAAGAAGTCCTTGTATGAATTTGGCATGTTTCAAGTACCTGGTAGCTTTTACAGGTAACAGACACTTTTTTCCTGTTAATTCAAAACCCAACTCTTACAGTCCACAAAACATGTGCCAAGACTCCAACTCTGCTGGCTGACCAGGCTATTAACATTAACTTCTCTGAAAGTAAAGTAGTATGAAAGACTTACTTCCTATTTAGTGATATCACATATCTTACTGATACATTTAGGTTGTGCTACTGATACACCTATGAAATTTTCAAATAATAAAATAGAATAATTAAAATACACAGTATCCAGAAAAACATCACAGAGGTCTCAGGATAGAAAGACAAAGTAAAAGTCTTTAATATATTTCACTATTTTGTGCAGATAATTATTTAACAAACTGCCCCAACCAATGAATAAACAAAATACAAATACAAATGTTTCAGTCTTTCTTTTCTCACACACTTGACTTGTACTTTGAGCTTAAGTAGCAGTTAAATTCACTGATACACAGCCTAAGCAGAAAAAAATTCTTCAGTTGTAATACTAAATTGTTAATATCTTTAGTGGTACAACAGATCAGTGCTGTGCCACTAATAATATTTTCTTGGTTACAGTAGAGATAAATTTTTAATCCAGGTAATTGGAGTACAACAGTAAAAACTCAAAATATCCCCAAACTGTTTTCAGGAAATATTACACATAATAGCTTTAGATTAAATCAGAATTTGTTTTCTTTTCTAGCATTGCAACGATAGGTAAAATTGTCTCGGAAAGTCAACATACATTAAATGGAAGATTGTTACATTTTATGACGATTAAACAAAATAAATGACAAGTAGGTACCTAGAAGTAAGATTCAAAACTCTACAAGCAGAGCTTATTTGCAATAGAAAGGTTTAAGTGCACATTTTTTCGTTTAGAATAACTTGACTGATTGCTTGATATCTCAAGTTACCAACTTGTTTTCTTCCTTAAGTAAATAAATCTAGAAAGGTTCTTAATGAATAGAAGCAGCTGGATCATTACAATATACTCAAGAGCAACAGAATACCAGTGTCTTCAGATGATTAAAGCTGTGTTATAAAAGCTAGTTTAACAAAGGTAGGAAGGTGAAATTTCACTTGCTAAAGTCACTTTGCAGCAGACAAAAAAATGAAGCTTGCATTTTGTTTGCTGGCAAAAAAAAGAAAATTCAACTCACAAGAGTACATTAAAAAAACCAAACATGCAATCTATTGCTTTCAAAAGTTTTACTGCAACATAACATTGATGTGAACAGTAATTAGATATCTAACATTTTTCCCCAAAAGAGATGTAAACAAGATAATAATTTTACCTTTATGTATATAGCTTCTGAGATAATTTGGGGGGTTAAGGGAGGAGGTGGTTTTTCTCAATGATCAAGAGTTTTAGTCGAAATGCATTTTCATTTGGAAAAAAGCAGCCAACTTTGCTTCAACCCAGCATTAAACAAAATACTGTGCTTGCTTTAACACATCTGAAAAAGCAAAATAACTACCCATATTTTGGCATTAATGTTTGAATTTGCTCAGACCTTTTAGGTTTCACACAGCTGCTATCCAGTGTTGCCATAAGATACAAATTGTAGAATCTAAGTAGCACAGGCTACTTCCAACACCAATACTAAGCAGAGAGGAAGATGAAGCAGAGCATTATACTGTAATTCTGGAACTAGGACAGTAAGAGTGAAAACCTAGAAGAAGTTAACCTACAGTATACAGAAGGAACTATCTGCAGAAGCTGATTTTGGTTGTATAATATTTTACACTGTGTGATTTTCTGCATCTGCTAATTTAAAGCAGACATACTTGCTGCTTTCTTTGCTTTGTTTGTTATATTCTCTTCTTGCTCCCTCCCCATATGACCATACAGCAAATATCATGAATATAAGCCCAATTATCCCAGACAATCCAGTGAACAAAGTTAGTGTAATGCACTGGTGTGAGGTGTGAAATTACAAAAATTTTTTCAATCTTCATCCAAGTTCTGTTGTAGAAGAAAGTTGGCAGCCAAGTTCTCATTCTTCTCACAAGCAAAATACGCCTGTATCACAAGTCCTTCAGGAAATCCTAATGCCTTTAACTGAAGAAAAGAAACACATTTAGGAGGTACACATTGTATACTAAGCTTCTTTGTATGTCTAGTATCTTGAGTCGCCACTTAGGCATTTACTGCCTTCCTGAAACCAACATTGCTGCCTAGCTCAATACAGCTTTTAGTGAGCAAAGAATAAGAAGGTGTTGCCTGTGTCTCTAGAAAACCAAATTCTCACTTCAGAAAGTGATTAGCATTAGTCTAATGAGGCATCATAAACCATACCACTTTTCTTTCACTGCTATAGTAAGTCACTATAACGGACTTGGTTCAGTGAAGTCAGGAAGTAACAGCACACTGTACTGCTGCAGAAAAAAACTTAAAATTATACCTTTTTAAAAACTATTAATTATAAAAAGCTCAGGATTTTTAACAAAAGTTGCCTGGGGCAAAAGTTCCCAGCCAATGATCACTAGTAGGTAACCCAACACATCACATTAAGCCATACTTTCAAAGTTTCAACTGGACTTTCACTTTTTAAAACTACACGTTGCAGCCACAGAAAGTAAGTTGGGACCAATTTGTTTCTCAAAAGTCAAGGAATTAATGTTTGGGACACAATGGCAACAGAGGATGAGAATACTAGAGAAAAGCTTATTACTGTAGCCAAGAAAAATTAGTTTAGCCTGCAATTAAAGACATTCAGGAAACCAAGCCTTGCTTCAGCTAAGGGGAAGTACATAGAACCATTTGGAGGTTTTCTTAAAATCCTAACAGCACTTCAAAGGCATTTTACATACAGGGCAGATCAAATCTCTGTGAGAAACAACATCCTATTACCCCTTAACAACCATTCTTAGATTTGATTTTATGCTTACAAACAGCATGAATGTGTCAGCTGTAATACTAAGACACCGAAATTTTGAGGTGTGTCATTCATGGAAAGGGAAATAAGCATATAGGTCTCTTTGCTGGAAGAGTCCACAGAGGTAATGCTCTACTCCATAAAATGTTTTTAACAGGAAGTGCAGCAGTCTAGAGAGAATGATCTGTAAAGACATACATGGGCAACATTTTTACTAGACTAATCTTGTTGTCTATTTCCTTGAGATCTAGTGAATTGACACCTGTAATAAAATTGTTCTGTTCTGATGATCCTTACAAAACCACCTGCTTTGCCAGTCGAAAAACAGTCTTTGGTATACAAAACCACTACCACCGTATGACACAAGTCTCTGCAACTTGCTCTAAGAAAAATGTCAGAGGTACTGCCATCTACTTATATCTATATTTAGTCCATTTTACACACACTATTTATGAATGTAGTAAGCCACCTGAAGTGTATTTTTATAAACACATTTACTTGTATTTTTAGAAAGCTATAATTAACTAATTCTCATGGATACACAAGGAACTGGGTTAAGTGGCACCTTCCAACTAATCTACTTAACTACGAGAGCTCTTACTATCCAAGTACTTTGCAAAGAGCATTTATACTGACACACCTTTGTATCCAGAAACATAGCACACCATGATCTATAACAGTAATGTCTGAGGCTTTTGTAAAAGGAATTACTGCCTGAGGGAAATGCATCAGTTATAACAGATGGTCTCTGATGACTTAAAAAGCTCTTCTAAGATAGATTCAAGAGATTTTAAACTCAATAGCCATAAAACAAGAAAAAATGTGATTTGAAACAAGACTGCAACAGCCATGAAACATCAAGCGTGAATATCTAAAGTAATTCAAAAGTACTGAGCATAAACAACGTTTAAGTTAAGGCCTGTCTGAAGCATGCACCAGAGTCAACATTATACAAGAACAGCCAAGCAACATTTCAAAGAAGAAAGGCTCACCCTTTCTATAGCTTCTTTTTCCTGAGGTGTTACTTGAATGTAGTTCATATGACCATTTCCAGCTTCTGCTACTCCTCCAGTGCTGACACCATCATCACTGCCACTGAAACCTTGGCGGGACTCCAGAACTGGCTCATTCAGCATATGAATAAAATGTTCCTGGTGCTGGCTTATTTGCTGTGATACATGGGAGATTTAAAAAATAAATATATTTTAAAAAAACACATTTAAGCCTGCCGACAGGCAAATAAAAATGTTTGTTTTTAGTGAATTATTGGTCAGAAGAATCTGTAAGAAGTGTGCATAGAAAAATTATTAGATCTAACCATGGAAATGCAATTGCATGTTTATTATGTTCATGTTGTAGTGACCCCTCCCTGATGGCCTTTGCATCTTTTATTGACTCAGATTAATTTATAATGTAATAAAAATGTTTTGTAGAGCAACAACTGTATGTGGCATTGGTGGATATGGTTTATGGGAGAACTTTGTAGAGTAAGGATGATGGTTGGACTGGGTGATCCCAAGGGTCTTCTCCAATCTGAATGGTTCTGTGATTCTGTGAACTGCTGAAAAGCCAACAATAGAATGTTTTAACTGCTGTTAATACAGTATTCCAGTTAACATTGAGATATCCCTTTCTTGTAAAGCAGAAACAAAATTAGCAGCATTATTTTGTTGTTTTAAGATGCACCTGTAGTAGTTGAGGGTTTTCTCGTCCAATCTGCTGTAGCAATGCTGGTAACAGAGAAGGATTTTGCTGAATAATTTGTCTCATCTGCTGGAACTGAGGCTGATTTCGTAGAAACTCAAGTGGATGTCCTGAAAATCAATGAGATAACATGCTTTTTATGAAGTTACCAAGACTTCTATTAGAATTCTTATTAAAATACATACCATGTAAGTGTACATAGAAACAGGACATGGAAGTGGACAATCGACCCCTCACTGAAGAACAGAAGAGCATGCTTCCTCACAGTAACTTACTCTAGCTTTAAGTAAAAATTATTTATACTAAGGCTAAACAATGGATTTTCTTGTCACCTAGCCTTCTCTTAAGAGCAAACACCCTTCTGTTCTTGATCTCCAGCACATCTCTTTATGTCTCATCTCCAAGTAATCTTTGGAGACACCTACTCAGCCTACTGTCTTGTCACTTTGTCTACAACAGTTTTCCACCTTCTGCAACAGGTCAGTTCTGTCCTTCAGTGATTCTTGCCTTCCCATATATCCCATGCTGTTAGATACTGCCTTGAATGCAGCAATGTCAAAAGTGCTTACACCTTGAACACCATCTCTGCCACAGCCTGTGACAGACTTTTCTGACTCCTTGATTATGCTCCTTTCATATATTTATTTCTCTTTAAGACAGAGTTCTCTTCAGCAGGCACTAACAACTCTGTCCACGTGCTGAACTGCTGCCTGTGGAGTCCTAGGTTATGGATAGGTTTCTCAGGTGCTGCACCTCCTGCCGTTACTGCAAGTTTCTCCCTTGAAATTCCAACTTCCAAGCAGTAAATGCTTTAATATAGTCACAGTCAACAGTGCACAGTTAGCCACACATGTAGAAGTCAGAAGTTAAGTGAGAGAAAACACAACACCCTCCACAAATGTGATCTTACATTTAAGTCCAGAATACTGATTCAAAGAAATTGGGCGGGATCACAGCATTTTTTGAAACTTCATGCTTTACTCCAGACTTATCTATATATAACAAGCTATTTTTTCCAAGCAAGTACCATACTTACAGAATTTCCATGTTGCAGCTTTTATCCAATTCACTTTGATCCATTCACAAACTCTAGGAACTTAAAATTCACTGAAGCAGAGGATGCTTAAATGTGTGAATTTATCACATCCTCTCAAATATAATCTTTCTCACCTCCTAATGAACTAGTAGTTGTAGGTACAGTTGCTGCTGCTGCTCCTGAAGACTGAGAGGTACCAACACTTGCTGCTTGAGGGGGTTCAGCCACAGCCTGGTTATCTCCCGGTATACCCTAAAGTGACAGTTCACATAATTACCTACAGAATGCTAAAAGATACTTGTTTTAGCACACATATTTGTCAGTTTTCAGAATGCTTGTCAGACCATTAATGGTTTAACTGCAAATACGAGGCAAGATGCTGTGATAGGTATGCACTTCAACTGGAAGAGAATACTGTGAAAAGTGCCATTTATTTTTCTTACAAGAAAATGTATCTGTTTAAAATGCACCCTACTCCATAAACAAATACATGCTTAGAATCATGGTCAAATATATTTGATGCAAGTGAAAAAGTTAAACTAGGTATCATGTTACAGTATTTCACAGTGTTAATAATAAGTAATAAAGTTACACTATAGCAGCCGAATGCAGCACACAATGCTGAGAGAGAGATTACAGATGCCATACAATCTGGAAAGATAATAAGAAGAGATATAGGAACATGGCTCTTTGGACCTCTTTCCTCAAAGCAACAGTGTGACAACTGTCATTTACTGTATCTTAAGTGTGGAAGGACCTGTATGTTACCAAATTTTACCAGTTAAGAAAACAGTTAACTTTCATTTTGCTTATTTTCCGTGTGCAAGCAATTTTATTTAGGAACTAATTGCTCTGGGGATGAAACTGAGATATCTAAAGGAAGAGTAAAAGTAAGTAAGACCTTACTTTATTACCTTTCTCCTGTGTGGGAATGCTTCAAATTTCCCACCCTAACCATGCTTTCCTCTCTGTTACTCTCTGTTCCTGCAGCACATCCTCCTCCCCAACACCTAGAAACGTAGGCAGCCTGGCACTGGTCTGACACCAAGAAAAATTCCTGTATGACTACAAGCCCTGGCAGTACAAGCAAGGGAAGTTGCCCGATAGGAACCCAAAAGAGGCTGACTTCACAGAGCAGTAAATCTGAAACACAGTTGTAGTGGGTGGAGCAATGTTAAACCCAACCCCAAAGGGGAAACACTCTACTAGATCCTCTATCTCACAACACTCAAATTACTAGGGCATCACAATATTCATATTTTCTAGTCTTTCTGCCTACTCAATTGAGTTAAGTCTGAGAAGGCAGAAGCACTGGTATGACTGAATATATTTCACCTGCCTCAAATGAAGGAGGCACCCATCATTTTGGGAACCACAAAACATAAGGAACAGGGTGGGTGGAAATAACTACAGAACTTCAGAGTAACCAGACAAAGAACATGTTTGGCAAGCCTACCACAGAAGTCACTGGTAGGTAACGTAGATTAAAAATCCTTCTGTAACATGATCTTCACACGATATGTTCATCACTACAGCTGAACAAAGAGGACAAATGCACACCTAATAAAAAGGCTACATCTACAAATGGAGAACCAGACAGTGCTCCAGGCAAAACTCTGCCTTATCTGCAAGATAAGAAGCACATCAAGACATAAATCACCTAATCTGCAAGTCCACCTTTAAGCCATTCAGAGGAACAAATATAAGTTTTCCCTGTCACACATTTCATTACCATTACTTGGCTTGGTCAGCTTGCTACATACACATCACTCTGTCCACAGAGGGGAGAAAAAATTCCATTCATAACATAACACTGAGGTAACTTCCTCTTATCAGTGCCTTACAGAACACTGCTTAAATAATGTAGGAACTCGGGTTAATCTTGGTTAATCTCAACTACTGGCTGAGTTCACCTATTTGCAGGTATATGTTGTCATTGCAATCTGTGCCCAGATGGAACAGCACATGTTTGCAAACCCTAAGTTTGCACTTGCATGGAAGAAGCACAGAGATTCGTCCAACCAAATTAACTTAGAGATGACTTGTCATCTTGAACATTACCTTAGCTCTTAAATACAAGCTTGAAGTATTACTCTCCAAATAACCAACTGTAATCAAGAGAGACTACCAAGATGTACTTTGTTCATACAGTTACCCAACAGAATAAAGCATGATATCAACTCACATACAATTAATTTTGAATGTAAACATTGCTTGGACAGCAAAAAAAAGACATTTTTGCCTCATGGTGGATTAAACAATTGTTTACTGTTTAATGACTACCAGAGCAGCTTTTAGCTGACACTGTACTCCACAGAGGAATAATCAAATTAGGCTCAGCCCAAGGAATATAGATTTAGAACAGAACAGTTCCAGCTGAAAGGGACCTACAGTGATCAATCTAATCCACCTGCCTGACCACTCCAGGACTGACCAAAAGTTACTAAGATCATTGTCCGAATGCTTCTTAAATACTGACAGGCATAAGGCATCATCAACTGCCTCTCTAGGGAGTTTGTTCAGTGTTTCACCACCTTCTTGGTAAAGAAACACTTCCAAGAAATTTCCAAATTAATAGTCTGGTTTTTGGAAGAAAGACAGGACTGCTTCCCAATTAAGGGATAAGGAAGCCTTGGGTCAAACCCAAATATTAATCTAAATGTCTTCAAAGATGAGCCTGGGCATAGAAAGAGACACAGTCTCTTTTGGAATCAAGAGCTCCTCGCACAACCACAGTTCAAGAACATAGGATTATACATAGGTCCTCAGCCAAGAGGCATTGAAAAATGAACAGTTTGTTATCTGAACCATGGACAAGTTGAATCTTCAGGGCTCATTTAAGGAAAAGTTATGCTTTAAGTGTAGATACTCTCTTAACATTTTCTTTCCAACACTTTACAGCTACCTTTGGTGCGCTGATTCTTGAGAGTAGGACAGTGGCATACACTGACAGCTCTCAACACCCCAATCCTACTTTGCAGATGATATGAAAGTTAACACTGATGACAGTTTGGAGTTAGATAGAGGGTTAAAGAGCAGTGTCATCAAAGGACCAGTATTAACTACAGAGAAGCTTTTTTGATGCAGCAGGATGGTAAGGAAAATGTTTAGGCCCCAGCAGATCAAGAATCATTAGAAAGACTATTTGGAGCAACACTATTCTTCTTGAAGGAAAACAAGTCTGCCAGCTAATTTGGCAAGACTGTTCCTCCCCACTCCCTTTTCCCAGAAGGAAGAAAAGAACAAAGATAGTCTCAGTAAAGGTTAACATGAAATAGATAGAGACCAGCTTATATAACGGAAGGACCCATTTTAAACAGCAAATTGACTGAAGGAGTAGAAATTAACTGCTCAGACAAAGTAAAATAATCTATTTGTCAGATATGCCACATGTTGAACTCCCTTGTAGAGATGCTTTACTTCTATTGAGGGCTCCCTGAACAGAAATAAGCTAAAGAAGGGAAATACCAGACTGAGTGTACAAGCACTGCATGCTGTACATCACTGGCACATGCACAGGAAGTTCAACAGGGGAGACACTGGATTGATGGTATATGTACAGGCTAAATGCAGAGTACAATCAGCATTTTTAAGGCATGAAATACAAATGTTTGAGATTCCAGACAACTGAGATTCTAGATCTATGGTAGACAGATAGGAGGTACTGCATTCGCCTTTAGGGCAAGGCAGTAAATACTTATGACCTTATGCTGGTCTCATACTAGATGAAATCTGAACTTCTCCAATCGATGTACTCAAAAGATTTGTTACCTGTTTAAAAACTGCAGGCTACAAAGTCTTGAGATCATTGATGTAAATGGCAAGCCCACCAGCAACTTGTAACTACTGGGGAAAAACTTGACTAAAAAAAGGTAAATTTTATAACTGGAGGTAAAGATACCAGTTTTCTTAACAATGTATTGGAAATTCAATCTGCTGATTTTGAAAGGACTGGCTCAAGATTTATAGTTTCAAGATTTTTTAAAAAGTTTGTATTTGGAACAAGGCAAAGCCCCATCAGGGAAAAAACTGTATGCTAGAGTGAAAGCTAAATGTACCATAAATACTGATTAAACAACAAGCTCCCAGACCGACTGTCTGGTGGCTACATTTCACCTGCCAAATTAAGGTATAAAATGAAAAGGAATCCAAAAAGCCCCTAGAACAACTCACAAGATTTACCTTACAGTGAAGCCACATTTCTACTTCCTCTGATGCCAATGAAGAGAGAAACTGTTTCTTCTCCAGAATATTGCTTAAATTAAAACACAAGTAATTCCTTGAGCCAGCCATCGGCAGTTAAAACTACCACTGTAACTGGACACATTTTACATACATATGCATACAAATCAACAAAGAATAAAAGCAAAGAAGTGACAGAGGTAGTTAGGAATGACTTCAGTATTTTCTGTAACATATTATACCCTCAAAATCTGAATCTCATCCTTCCAGATGTTTTGCTTAGAGGTGGTATTCCTCATTAATATGTACTACTGTCACAGATCGGATAATATTCAAAATAACAAGCAAATCAAAGTTAAAATTATTCTTTACTGAGGACAAAATTAAAAGTGAAAGGACAAGAGCACACATAAAACAAACTGCTCACCATTAAAAGGTATTCCACTGCTCGGTCAGGATTGTTGAAGCTGGCTCTCAGTGCCGCAATTACTTGCTCTCGTTCATAGCCCATTGACATGATCTCAGTCACCATGTTCTCATAGGATTGACCTGTCACTAGAAGTAACATGACCACCATTTTAAGGGAATAAGGGGGAAAAAAACAGCACAAAAATGTGTCAATGGATAAATGTAATTTCTACTCATTGAAAAGAACAGCTCATATTAAACTTGCCCTGGTTCTCTTGCTTTACTTCCAAATATATTCTGGTGGTTTAACTGTGCAACTGATTGAAGTACTAGAGACTAATGAACACACCGCAAACTTCAGCTGAAAAAGAAGTAGCACTTGTGATACTCCTGTACTTTTACTTGAAATAATACTCCCTCTCTATACTTTCACCTAAGGTCAGGGGCATTCTCACAATATTAAACTCCTGATTTAATCAAGAAGTGTCTCCTGCACTCTAAGTTTGGAAATTAAACTTTCTAGGCAAAAATCATGCTGTCAAACTGATGGCCATTAAGATTCTTCCAAATTAAGACTTCACACTGTGCTACAATTATATATATGACAAACAGCGATGACCAAGTTACAACTGTGCATCGCTCCATGATGGTGATGATGATCAAATGAACATCAGGCAGGACTTAGTTATATCTAGGGCAATAATTGAAGACCTCAATGAGTATTCAGGAGAACAAGTTCGCTTATTTAATTCATGCATATTTGACTAGACATCCACCACATCTCATCTCCCACCTCTTACCATGCAAGTGTACTAAACTGTCCCTTACCTGCAGCCACCAAGACAAAAAGGTCCACACACACTATATGGAGCAGCTTAAGGAATATTGATCACTACGCTAACAGTACTGTAGGAAAAATTATTCTCTCTTTTCATAATCCATTTTATTTCTCTTCCTTTAAAGCAGACAGCAGGTTTAACAATTAAAAAAATATTCTATTATAAAAACTGTAATGCATCAACATCTCAACAAAGGCATTAAAATACCATTTCCTTCCTTGAATAAAGATATTTCTGATCTCTGTAGAATCCTACTACTGATTCTGTGATACTAGCAAGTTAGTGGCAGAAGAGTTAAATAATTAACAGTCATCATAAACATTTCTAAACATTAACATTAAACATCAACATTTTTAAAAAGTAGAGAATACAAATACTGCTAGAGCTACTCTGATAAGTAAGTCACAAGTATAAATAAAGTCACAAAATAAATAAATAAAGTTTTAATCCCTAAGAGAGAAAGTGTTTAACTCAAGCCAACATTAACACAATCACGTTGCTCAATTTTTAAAGAATCCTTCCAAATAATCAGTGGATGTATAACTGAGAACAATATACTCAAGAATAAACAATAAAACATCCTTAGTGCAAGGGTACTTGTGCATTACCTAGGAACAATTAATGGATTTACTACTCTTGACTGATTTTAGTATTTAGTGTTCAGACTTCAAAATAATAGTGCCAACCTGAGTTGAAGGAATGGTCAGTTCATGTCTGACCAATTATTTTACATCTAGTTTAATTTTTTCAATGATAAAAAAAAAATCACCTCCGTTTTGCTCTAAATACACATATTTCTGTACATATCTTCAGAGAAGCAAAAAAACCAAGCCAACAATTGTGTCAACACAGTGATTTTGATTAACTTACTGCTCCATGGCCTTTCTTTCACAGCATTACTTTACCCTTACCATTGCTAACAAACTAATCAAAGTAAACAGAAAACAGAACACCTTGTGATCTAATTAGTTAATTCTTAAACATTTCTGTACTACTCTTTCAATATAAGTTAGGTAGAGACTAGAATAGAATAAGAGATTTGGTACAGAAAAAAAAAGAAGCAAAAAGGCTGACTTGCTCTGGACAGACTGCTTCAGAAGCCATAATTAAAAGCCAAAGAAGGAAACAGAACTACAGCAAATTTAGGCACATGTACTCCATATATATTCTACTTACACAAGTGATGCAAAAGGAAGCCCAAGAATAATAATAAATGAATTGCACACCAGCAATTTTGTTATGTAGTCAGGCCTGTCTCTACATAGTGATACTTGCAGTGTTTCAGAGGTCAATGCAAAACTGATTCTGCTCTTTGCTTTTGTATTTCAAGTAACTTTCTATAGTTGGATTAACTTTCAAATCCACTTGATCACACTCCCCACAATAAATGTTGTCTAGAAAAATTCTCGCCCTAAAGAAAGCTTAGGCTCTTCAGTGAAAGACTTCATTACACATGAACTGCATGTACCACACAAAGCCACATCAGTTTTCAGGCAATGCATCTAACTGAAAACAAAAGCAATTCAGTAGAAACCAATCCTTGTCTTTGAAGAGAAGTTAATAATCTACAGACAATGTAATTGAGAAGACAAGGTTAAGAACTTGCATAGGACCCTTACTTAGGATGCAAAAACACACTATATGAATTTGTGCAAGCAAATTACTTTCAAGACAGTTTCTAAAAAAGAACCAGAGTTCATGCCTATTGCATTTGAAAATTTTCTGGCATATAGCCCTTACAGGATGGTTATCCAGGAAATTACACTCAATGTCTGTTATTTCCAAACTGTTAGGGACATGTGGGTTTACTGTATCAGGTAACAACCAAAGAGCTTAGATATAAAATGGATAGTGAGGTGATGCTCTCCTGCTACATGGAAAGGAGAATTTTTATTTATTTTCTTTTTCAATTCTGAACATAACTGAATCAAGACCATCAGCTTAATTAAACTTTTTGGTCACTATTGTTAACATGAGTATTTTTGATGGCCACATCTCAGCACAAAGGTATAGCAAATAGTTAATGAAGTCTGCAGCAACTTTGGTAGCAGCAGTCACTTAAAAAAATGCAACAGAACTCTACTGGTTGTCTCCTACATCATCTATTAGATATTTCAGTCAAATATTTCTTCAGCCTAAATCAGTATGCCTTAAGACCTAAGCTGCAGTCAGACAGACTAAACGTGGTGGCTACCAACTACTGCTCCTGAATCATCATGAGCCGCTTAATCACAACACCTGCCCCAAATACATCCACATAGCCCTACACAAAAATGTAAGCAAAACTCTGGAATTGGTTTAACTTTTTGTACCAAGTTGTATCTTAACATTTATAGATATAACAGAATAAAAAACCCACCGCTCCCTTGCTTCTGTGCCTTAATTTGCTACACTCTAAAAATAAATTAAAAAAAAAACCAAACAACTCAAAAAAATTGAAGTAGGAGACTTGTGGGTTTACCAAGTAACTTCGCAGCTACCATAATCTGCATGAATGCAGGGCACAACTTTCCACTGTTTTACCCTGTTCATTCCACTTTGAAACAAAGACATTTACACTGTTAAAAGAAAAGTACATTGACTGTAAGTATATGGAGGTATTCACTCCTCAACCCAGAGAGCAGCAGATTTGGTGAATTTATCTAATCTAAATGTGTCAAAAGACAGTACTATAAAGGCTGGAACAAGAGAATAGTAACAGTAGTAATTTTATCAGACCTGCACACTGGGAAGTAAAGGTGGAAAGCATATACATATTCATGTCCAGTCTTCTATTCAAGGCACTTCAAACTGAATAGCACAGAAGAGAAATTAAGGCAAACGGGGAAAAAAAAACAGGAGTAAGAATCTTCCTTTTACACAACAAAAAATTATGAAGTGAAATATTCTTCAGTAAAGAAGTTATTGATGCTGGTTCTAAGATACCATCTATCAGGTCTTAGAGAAGAGTACTGTGATCATAACTTTAACAATGACAGATAAAGAGAATGTCAACATCTGCTAATCCGTCATTTGTTTCTGCTGCACCAAAAGAATGTCTACATTAAAAAAACACTCCACTTACCAAGTGCACTTATAGCATCCTCAAAAAGATTTGATCGAGATGTATCACCTGTTGTACTGTAAGATGAAGACAAGTGCAATGGTAATTACAAAACTTTGGAAACTTCCTGTTTTCTTAAAAAAGCAGCAGCAGCTGTAACTCTAATAGCCCATTTTGTTTCTAAAAAAACAAAGCCCTCCAAAGAGTTCTCTTGGTCTTATATGAGACCAGATTTTACAAACTTTAAATACTATAATTTTTAATACTTAAAGGTCAACCTCCCCCCCTACCCTCCAATAGTTGGCAGTTGCCCATCTGCTCAGGGTGGTCATCTGCTTGTTAAAATGCTTTAAAGGGTGGGAGAACAAGTTGGATCAAAAGCACACAGCAGTCTCACTAACTGCTTCCCCATAATCTACAGTTTGACCTCAATGAGGACTCATGGAGGCAAGCACTAAAATCTTGGTATCCTAGTTTCCTAGGAATGTTAATTGCTAACATTTGTAATCACTCCATCTCCAGTAAAGAAAGCTGTTAAATTACATTATTAAGGGCTTACCTCCATGAACACCAAGGAACAGAGGCACAAGACCCGGCAGAGGAACCCCAGTTAACTCAGTCAGAGCCAAAGGTACCCCTTTGCAGCTCCTTCCAGGGCAGCAACTTAAATCACAAGCCCCTCAGTCTCTGGGTGACAGCCCTGACAGGCCAACAGGGGTTGCTCTCCAGGTCTCTTTACAGATCAAGGCTATTCCTGCCTACAGGGTGGTATGACTCACTGCAGGGTGCCAGGAAAAGCTGTTTCAGGATTGTGCAAGACTTATTACAGGAT